TTCTAATTCTAACACGTACATGTATGTGTATTTAAGCAAATTTTCAACCTTGTATTGCTAGATAAAGAGTACTCATATATTCCGAAAAACAGAGACATTTTCATCAAACCTGAAGTTTAACCAAAAGAAGATTTTCCAGACAATACAAATTCAAAGTATTAATGTTAAGCTTAAAATTTTTAGCGGACGATCAGTGCCTCTTTCAAAGTCAAGTTGTTATAAAGAAGCGGAAATTACTTAAGAAAACTATCAAAAGTGTATGAGATTATGATTTTGATGTTCCTTATACAATTCTTGATGGCTGTTCTCGGTTCATGGCGGGGTAGATATCTGTATATGGAGGGGGAATCCCAGGAGGATAGTATGATTGTGGTATCTCCTCATTTTTCACAATTGATGCCCTGTCCTAAAAATTTAAGAATACCTAAAATTATGAAAACTTTCAAATCGGAAAATGTTTTTTTTTTTTCCAAAGGACTAATCTGATAGAAAACAATCTTACAAAAAAACCCTGTTTTTTAATGTTTTAGGGAAAGAAACAAAATATGTGGAATTTTGATATAAATTTCGTTGAAAATAGCCATTTCATGAAAAGCTTAGATTGAGCACTCACATTATCTTTAATCTGTCCTGTAATTGATACGCGGCCAATCTGACCACTTCCTAGAACTGACTGAAAGTATTGACCATTTGTTCTATAATGGTCCCTTCTGTTACAGCACATTTCACAGATACACATCCAAAAAAGCAATTTAATTACGAAGACTAAAAATCCAATTCCACTGCAGAACAGAAATTATTTGTCTGAACTATCTTGAAAATACTGTCCAATTGACTACCAGCATATTTATTAGGAATGGTAAAAGGAAAACGCATTTTTTAAGTCATGAACACAAATTTACTCACTAAATGTAGCTCTCCATTGCAGTATTCTTTTACTCTCCGACGAAATTTTACCTTGCTGGCTTAATAAAATGTAAATCAAAAACAAAACAAAAAAAGAAATAAATTCACATACTCTTGTAAGTTTTGAATTTTAGAAAATATCGAAGAAATTTATAGAATTTTTGTATTTATACTCACATTGCAGGATGTGTCCTTCTCCTTAAAACAGTGTAGCCAGTATGATTAACCCGAGGAAGTGATGCATGAATAATCTTTAATGCTGATGATTGGGTTTTTTTGTTACATGAAATGTGATACCCAGTATTCAATATATTGCTTTATTTTTTTTTTTTTAAAAAGCGACTAAAACTAGTGAAAACCCTGACTCAAAATTTGAGCATTGTCTCATTTTCAGGAAATATCTTTTTTAATTTTTTCTTTGTTGACCAGGAAAAAAATTAACATTCTGGATAAATGAAAAGATGACAAACAAGAAGAATACTAGCTACCTTCTTTTACTGTTTTTGGTAACAATTATTTGGCACAAATGGATGTCCTACGCGTGTATGTTTATTTTTAAGAAGTAAAGACGTACTATCAAATACACTAACAATACCATACAATCATTTCTAAAGCGCATTATAATAAAGACACTCTAGTGCGCTTAACATTAAAATACACATAAGCATACAAAATGAAGAACAAACTACTTAGAAAAATGCATATGCATGTGCATTAAAAAAAAATTATAGCCTAACTAAAAGATCTTATATACTATAAGAACATAAAATGTTACTAGTGTACTGAAACACTGCGCGGAAGTCCCTAATATAAAATTACACCTATTGAAACGTTAAAATTTTCAAAGAGCCTGTACTAATGAATTAAACATGTCCTAACATGTCCTAAAAGACCTTATAACCAGTTCAATGTTCAGTTCAAAGTAAATCACTCAAAATACAATATTTACATTCTGTCATAGGCAAGTTCAAAAAGGTGAGTTTTAAGACCTATTTTAAAAGCGGAGACGGATTTGGAATGTTTAAGATATAAGGGTAGAGAGTTCCAACATGAGGCGGCGTAGTCATATCGGCGACTGCCATAGGTAACAGTTCTAACCTTAGGAACATCCGGAAGAAATGAATTCTGTATACGTAAAGATCCGGGAGGCGAGTATATTTTGACAAGTAGTTTGCAGCACGGTTGTTCATTGCATTGTATACAAACAAAAGTAGTTTATATTGACTTCTGTATTCGACAGGAAGCCAGTGGAGATTTTTTAGGATTGGGGTCACGTGATTAGATTTCCTGGTACGAGTTATCAGCCGTGCGGCAGTATTTTGAACTTTCTGCAGCTTGTTCACAAGCTGTTTATTTATTCCGTACATCAATGAGTTTCCGTAGTCGAGTCGGGAAGTCACAAGTGAATTTATCAACGTTTTACATACGTCGTCTGTGATATACGAACGGATGCGACCGATTTTCCGGATTTTATTGAAGCATGTTCTAACTATTGAATTGCAGTTTTTCTCATGCTTAGAGTCCGGTCGAAAAAAGCTCCAAGGTCCTTTACGAAAGGGGAGTCACTAATCGAGCTTCCTCCAAATGGAAGATTGAATGTGGAAACTTCCTTTATTTTCAGTTTTGGACAAAAGAGCATCAATTCAGTCTTATCATGGTTTAACTTTAAAAGATTGATACACATCCACGATTTTATGTCTGCGAGACAAGCAATGAGAGAAGTAGCCACATTATTCCAGTTTTTATTTGGCTCAATAACTAGATATATTTGGGCATCATCTGCATAGCAGTGATATCGCATATTGCATATATTTCCTATAGGTTTGGAAAACATACAGTACATCCTGGGTCCTAGAACCGAGCCCTGAGGCACACCGATTTCAAGCGATTCTGCATTTGATAAGGTTGCACCAACCGAAACTCTCTGACTCCTGTCAGTTAAGTAGGATTTTATCCATGACAGCACAGCACCGTATATCCCGTCTGAATACTTTAGACAATGGAAAAGAATCCGGTGATCTATAAAATCGAACGCGGCCGAAAGATCGAGCATGACAAATACAGCATAAGAATTGTTGTCTAAGGCGGTACCAATGTCATTGTGATCAGGCAACAGTGCAGTTTCAGTTGAGTGATACGAGAGGTATGCAGATTGTAGAGTATCGTACAAATGATTTGAATCTAGATGATGTTCTAAGCGAATTGCAACGACTTTCTCAATAACCTTTGAGAGGAATTATAAATTTGAAACCGGTCTATAGTTTTTGAGTTCGTTCGTATCTAGGTTATGTTTCTTTAATAGTGGCTTGATGATAGCCTGTTTGAAATCCTTCGGCATGACCGATTGACTTAATGATTTATTCTCTAAATCAGTAATGAAAGGTACAAATTGTTCAACACATTTTCTGACTATCGATGTTGGGACAGCATCTAGCTCGCATGATTTTGGTGGCATAGACAATAGAAGTTTCCTGATCTCATCAACAGAGTTCGGATCGAATGAATTGAACGGCACACCTGTAAATGGCACATCAGAAGACAATGCATCGGCATGATTGATCATCTACGTAATTTGATGACAACAGAGATGATCTGATGTTCTGAATCTTAGACACAAAATATTTGCTGAATTTATTAGAATGAAATATATGGAGATAACGAACAGTATTCAAGCTCAAAAGTCCATTAAACAATACAAAATAGGAGCAGAGCAAACACGGACCTCTAAACATCAGAGATGGGATCAGATGCCATGGAGGAGTGAGCATCCCCTGCCGACGGGTCACACCCGCCGTGTGCTCCTTGTCATGATCGGGAAATAACGGAAAAATCCGTCGACAATTCAGTGTGTAAATAATGGCCTAACAATTAGTATGAAAAACGTCAGTCAGCATTTGACTCAATGATAAATTGTATTTGCTGACAAGGTCATTGTATCGACTATAGAACTTAGGAAATGATGACTTTAAACGAGACAGCTGATATTCTTGTTTCATCAACTTGTTTGTCAATAATTTACCTCATTTTAGAAATTGTACATACGTAGAGCATGCTCTTGCGTATCGAATCAACTGAGAGATATATACCCCGTATGCAGGTGATGAAGGTATATTGCTGCATAAGTAAGGGAAGTTGACGATTGAAAAGTTAAAGTCATCACGTTTATCATAAAGCTTGGTTGTTAGATTACCATTAACGTCTTTTTCAAGTAAAATATCCAAATATGAAACAGATGTGTCAGACTCTGGCATCTTTTATCCCAAGCTCACCAGGATATATCGTATCGACATAAGAATGGAAATAGCCATTGTTAATTCACAATACATCGTCGATATATCTAAATGTCGAGTTGAAGGCGTCGTGTCATTCGTATTGCCCATGAGTTTATTTGTAATGGAATATAGACCCTTACTATCCGACCCACAGTCAATGATTTTGTTCGAATAATACGACTGCTTGCTTTGATACAACAATTTTGAGTGGTCAATACATTTTTAAAAAAAACGATATTAAGTCCAACGGTAAGTGGCCAAAAAAGTGAAGATAACAAAGAGTGATCAATCTCAAAAAAATCTAAAAACAATACAGATTTGTGAATAGACACCAGGTGGGATTAAGTGCCTAGGAGGAGTAAGTATCCCCTATCGACCGGCCACATCCGCCGTAAGCCCTAGGTATTGATTAGGTAGACCTTATATTCCGTCGTTAAATTTTATACAAAAGTATCTTATACAAAGTATTACTTCAAGAAACTTAGTAGTATTAAAAAATTATTACATGTAAATATTTAAAATTCAAAGCACACAAAATGTAAAAGTATTTTGTCAATCCTCCTTATAAAAGAAATTTATTTGCAATTCTCCCGAGTTTCATAATTACAATTTCCTGATAAAACAAGTTCTATGTACTTTCTATTCATTTATTATGCTCATTCCCATAGTGATACAACTTGTAACATTGTACGTATTTCGTAAGTTAATATATTTTCTGGTGTGTCGTATGGCCCAACGATTTGATACTTTTTTTCATAGTTTTTTTTTTTTTTTTTTTTTTTTTTTTTTTTTTTTTTTACAAAAAAAAGAATCGAATATTTTAGATTTAATTTAGATTTAGATCTCTTGATGGCTGTCCACTATCCATAGCTAGGTAGAGATATGTATATGAGGGAGGGGGATCCCAAGAGGATAGTATGGTCGTCGTTTTTCCTCTTCTTTAAACACTCTTTAAACACTGATGTCCTGACCTAAAATCATACATGTCAGAATACGTAAAGTATGAAAATTTTAAATCTGAAAATATTTCTGTTCATACATAAAACTTATTTTCTCAAAGGACGATTTTGATAGAATGCAATCTTACAATTAATCAATAGATTGGAGTTTTTTTCAGCAAACGACGGGAATAAAATGATGAATTTTTTATTATAAATTTATTATAAATTTCATTAAAATTAATTTTTCATCAAAAATTAGGATTGAGCACTCGCATTATCTTCAGTCTGTCTTGTATTTGATACGCGGCGAATCTGACCACTTCCTGGGACTGACTGAATAAAGTATTGTCCACATGTGTGTTGGTGTTTTCGTCTCTTAGAGATAATTGCACAGACGCAAATACATTATAAAAAATTAATAACGAGGACGGTTGTAAATCAAATTCCTCTGCAAAACAGATGTCACTATTTTGATTTATGTTGAAAACCCTGTCTAACTGATTACTAAGGTATTTAAGACTAGTACAAAGGAAAATGCGTTCTAATAAAATCACAAAATATCTACAAAAGTTTACTTACTTAGTGTAGCTCTCCATTCCAGTATTCTTATCCTCTTCGACAAAATTTATCCTTATTGCCTTGATAGTAATGTTAATCAAGAACTCTTTAAAATCAAAGTACTGAAAGTACTTGGAAGCGCTAAGCATGTTGCAATTTGAAATTCATCAGAATTACTTTGAATTTAAATTGCCTGTTGTATTGGAATTTAAGCAATATCTTGACAGTGCGGCTTCGCTAGGGCGAGCACAGTTGTTAAATACATAATCAAACCTGTGAGTCATGAAAAGAGGGTGTTGCAGTTCTTTTGTTATTTTCCCTCAAGTTGTAGCAGTTTAAAAGAAAAATTTTAAGTAACAGAAAACGGTCTTAATTTTTTTCAGATACAACGGTATATACAGCACAATGTAGAACAATATTTAGAAACTGCATATCGACTTCCAATTTGCCATTAAATGAATTATAAATTAGTCACATAGCAAAATAAGTCAAGTGTTCTGTTTTTCAAATAGGGAATCCCCATTTTTCTGAAAAATTGCCTCCTTGAAACAGAATGAATTTGATTACACATAAAGAGACGGGATTTTTCTTCAAAACTGCCATTTCCGATTTTTGTTTCAAAGAGGCATATTTTTGAAAATCACAAAAATCGAATAAAAATTATAATCCATCCGAAATGCAAAATGTGCACATAAAATAGCACATAATACTTCACTGTCGGAGCTGGTCTAGTGGTAAAGCGTGTGGACTCTATGCAAAGATTGTTTTACCTGAGAATGGGTTCGAATCCTAGAATGGCTGGTATCTATATGCATATTTTTTTTTATATAATGGAAGTGCAATGTAACAAATCTCTTGAGAGAGAAAGAGAGAGGGAGAGAATGTCAGAAAATTAACGGGTAATATTTTAAATGCATGCAGAATTAAATTGTTTTCCTTGATATTGTGATCTAAAAGTAATAAGACATAATTTTATATCTAATGTAATTATCTAGTGGCGATGTCTTAAAAAATAAAGTACTATCATTTTAAATAATTTAATTTTTTCATACGCATTTCGTTTCATTATTGTTCTGTTAATTAGTGGCTCAGATTTGATTTGAAACAACTACAATTGAAATGACTCAATGGAATTTCTTGGATATTGCATCGACAGCGTGATTATTGGACACATTTTTATATATATTGAAAAATATTAACGCACGCTGTCTACAGTACGTCTTTCAAAATGATGTGCGAGGTGCACTTGCCATTAATTTTGCTTTTTATCGTTCTAACTTTTCTCGTGCAAATTGGCGACAGTGACCATAGATGTGAAAAAAAGTTTACTTACAAGTCGCCAGTCTATGTTAGGAAAAACTATGCAAGAAATAAACGTAATGTTAAATGTTTTGTTATAACAACCTGGGCATACCCGTCGTATAAATTAAGTCGTCTGCGCAGCACATCACTCTTCATGCGTCGTGGTATTTAAATGTCCTTCTCGATATAGGGAATAATCACGAGTTTCTGCAACACCCTCTTTCCCGTTGGGATATGAAATTCAACATTGTCTTATGCCTTTTTATTTTAAGCATTTTACATTTTCTTCTTTTGTCAAAAGGTCAATCAATTTCACACACAAGAAATTGTATGAAAATATTTCTCCGTTTCTTAAAAAAAAAAAAACAGTATATACAAATTAAATGGCAGATATTTACTCCTGTCCAAACAGCAATGTATTTCTCAGACTTAATAAAAAAAAAATAGAAAAAAATACATGTAAACATATTTTCTTTCTCCATCTCCTTATAGGAGTCTATAAGAAGTAGCTTTGCGTATAAATGGCAATTTATTGGAGGGGGATGGTCGACGAGTTTTTCGACCAAATTTAGACTATAAATGTAGCTATACATTTGCTGGAAAATGTATATTTCTAAATAATTTCGAACAATTGAAAATATCGCTGAAATTTCTCTCATTTATGTGCAACACCGACAGCTAAAATGTTCTGGTGATAATTTTTAATAATAAATTCATTCCGTGTTTACGAGTGTTTCAAATTGAAGATTGGCTGTTAGTGACTGTGCTTTAATTTTAGAGACTGCACTCGGAAAATAAAGATGCTATTTGTTTATTGCGTCGATAAATATTTCCTAATTGATAACATACTATGTCAATGAAATGAGCACCCGTAGAGTTAACGTCCTTTTGTCAGAGATAATTGGTAAATATATATTTGGAGTATAAAGATATTATATTTGTCTTCTTCATTTGATGATAAAACATTCGGTGCTATCCTTTTATCTCTGATAATCATATACATGATTTATAATGTATTTGCAACAAAAATTTGTCTTTTCTGTTGGTCTCACAATATGTATATCTGATTTGTAAATTCAATACTATAAAATCAACCTTGTTGATTTTATAGTATTGAGGGTAGACCTATATATATATATATATATATATATATATATATATATATATATATATATATATATATATATATATATATATATATATATATATATATATATATATATATATATATATATATATACTTATCATTCGTCATTTACAGAATTATATGGGGAGCGCCTGTGCAAGAAATTAGAGGTGTTTTGCTTATTTTTAATAAAGTAAGCAATCATTAAAATCTACTCATTGTAACAACTTTGTCTTGTTTAATTTTTGCACTTGCTCTCTTTAAAAAATAATTTATAATGGGTTCCGATCGGTAACGTATCATTTTACAGCATTTTTTGTACTGTGTTATAATTGAAAAAAAGATGTATAACCATGGGAATTTCCTGAATGTTATAAGGTTCAGCAGTTGTAAACAACGGAATCTTAACAGACATGTATATCTTAAATATTTGTGCAATTTATTAGCATAATCTCTTTGATGTTTCATGTCCAGATTCATTGTTTGCTAATAATTAGACCTTCTGAGTTGAGGGTTTAAGAAAGCTAATACTAACGTAAACTTGTCATCACTGGCCAATTCATCAGACTGGTCAAATTAAGTTCACATTAATCATGTTAATGTAAGATAAAAACATAGATCTAAGCATATTGGATAACCAAAGGTAAAATTCTCCCCTATTCATCTATTATGATTGTCTACTCCAACTGGTTATGTTATCGATACGGGAATAGCTGAGTGTAAATGCAAATATCACACTTGTTTTAATGTCGAAACAAAATCAGGTCATAGAACACGTGTGCTTTATGGAATGATTCATGGGTTCAGGCCCTTACCATGCACATCTATAAATTCCGTATTTTAGTTTCAGTTTTTTATTTAATAATTTCGTTTTCTTAATTTAATAATTTCGTTTTCTTAATTTAATAATTCCGTTTTCTTTATTTAATAATTTCGTTTGCTTTTTATTTAATAATTTCGTTTTCTTTATTTAATATTTTCGTTTTTCTTTATTTAATAATTTCGTTTTCTTTATTTAATAATTTCGTTTTTGTTTATTTATTTTTGGTTTGCACTATTGGGCTTCCGTAGTAAATATTACTTTTTTAAAATTAAAATTTTATACTTTTCTTCTTCGGATTAAAGATATGTCTTTAAACCCCCAAAAGTATTTTGGACTATTGTTGAAATACTTTAAAATGCCTCAATATTTTTTAAGGACGTTTGATGCTTTACACCATTCTTTACTTGTTTATGTATGATTTTAACTACCACGCAAAACGTGTTTAGAGGAAAAAATATCAACAGCACTGTTGTGATAGTTGAAAAGGAATACTGAAAATAATTGCCCGTAATTTTTCTGATATTTCCATGATAAATAATTCAACAGCCCAAATAGAAAATACAGTATATTAATCTCAAGTATTAATAATTCTTCATGAAGGTATACAACATTGTTTTATTCTGTTTTTATGTAGTCCTTATTAAGTTGCTTAGCAGTCAAAACGGCAAACACGCGCACATCTTTACATAAACTATTTCTTCCTAGTTTCCTAATACAAGTATTATACTGTTTGCTTAACATTTCATCCGCGCTTTCCTGTCCATTGCTAAGAACGTTTAATTAAGGTTTTTGCATTTTTCCGCAATATCTTGCGCACTGCACACACAATTTTAAAGTACAATATACCGAAAAATTAGTTTTCCTATTTGAGTGATTCGTTGAAAACACAGCCACCACGTGCCCTACATGTAAGTACAGTCGCAAACTGCCTTTCCTTGCGAATTATTTACATCATATTTTTTACCCATATTACAAGTATAGAGTACAGCATTCCAGTCTGTTACTAATTGATACTGAGATGCGAAAATCCATTTCATTGATAACTCTCTGCATGGCGCAAGGGTGATAATAGGAAGACTTGTTTTTAGTTACATTGTCTGAAATACGGGTCTAGAAGAAGAAATAATAGTTTATATGGATATAAGTTATATAGAACGTACATATGTAAGTACATTGTAAATAAATTTTTTGCGAAATTTTCTACTAAATAACCCAATTCCAGTTTGAGTTTTAAATACTTATTAAAATCCCATCTGAGTTTTAAAAATATGTACTCATTCAATCACTACATTACATGTACATGACATATAATAAACCGTTTTCAATTAAGTATTTGCGCCATAGATATGCCGACACGATTTTAAATGAACTACAATGTTTAGAGATAAGCATGACAAGAACCGCCCTTATCTACTAATAGTGGGTTTTCGTACAATGTACATGCATATCTTTACCTTACTAATTGACTCCTATTATTACAACTGCACGTAACTCAGTATTACACTAAAACAGCCGAAAGAGAGTCGGGGATTTCCAGTTGCATATTTTTAGAAAACCCAGTGGAGTTAGCTAACTTGGATAGTGGCGCTGGATCGCGAACGGAAGTAGATTTAAGATGACAGAAAGCGCTTTGCGCTGCGCTTAGCGCTTAAAAATGGAGATGAGAATCAATTCACATAATAAGTCCTCTTTTCTTTGTAATTGTATCTTAGAAAATATCAATGTAATCTGTAGATTTTTTAATACTTACATTGCAGGATATAACAAGCTCCTTAAAACAGTGTAACCACAGTGCTTACGCTAAAGAAATGCAACATGCATGAATCACCTTCAATGCAGATGTTCTCCATTTTAAGCTTGAGATCGGTTTCCCTGATGGGGGTTTTATGTTTATTAAAATGTGATACCATTACAAAGAATTCAATATATTTCTTTATTTAAATAATTAACTAAATCTAGTGTGATATGGGTCAACGCCCTGGCTCAAAAATTGAGCATTTCCTCATTTTCACGAAATATTTTATGCATTTTTACTTTCTTGATCAGAAAAAAAACATTCTTGATAAATAGAGAACACACGGGAAGAATACTAGCTACAATTGAGACGATCTCCTTTATTTCACTGTTCCTGTAACAATTATTTGAAACAAATTGATTTCGTGCTCTTGTATATGTGTGCAATTTTTCAAAAGTAAACTCACCCTTCCAACTACATGTACATACAATTATATTGTACAAAAACACCTAAGATGAAAAAAAAAATTAATGTTAACATTTTGTTGAAGAGAGCCTCAGACAGAACTGCTCGAGATATTATATAAAACACCAATATTCTATTCTATGTTATCAAAATTCTTCGACAATACACTCTTAAGTGGGGTAAATGAAATATACCTTTTTTTTCTGTATAAACGATACATAATATACACTTTCGATAGCATTAGCATAAAATGTGTAATTACCAGAAGTAGAGATTCTGACCCCATGTACTGGACCCCAGGGGATGATATCATGGATCTTAGGATTGGATCATAAGAGGGAGTTGGATTCTATCAGTTGTTAAAATTACAAGGCTCTGTCTTCACTCCGTATAATTTTATAGGTCTTCAGAGATTCTCGACGGCTATAGGGGTTTCCATACCCTTCAAACTTTGGTCGGTAAAATTTCCGCTCAGTAGACCCACACAAAATCTAGGCGTAGTAGAAAACTTAATAGAAGATAACCAAAAAAAATTATGGAAGAGGGGTGACAAAAATTACATTCAAAAAGCCAAAAAGAAGTTTTCTTGGCGAATTTACGTCTGCACCGCCACCCTGAGGCACTGTAGGACAGATCCAGATGCTTACTCCGAAGCACATTTAACATTTTACTTTTTCATAAATTGATTGAATAGTATATAATATATAACTGGGTTTTTTTCAGTGCCACAACCCTTCAAATGAACATTCTTCAAAATTTTCTGCCGACGAAAGGATTTTAGAAAATGTCTTTTTCCGAATTAATTTTTGGTAAATGTGTGTGAAATTTGGTAATGTTGCAATGTTTGCAGAAAACATAATACATCTAGTTTCAATGTGAGCGGTTCCTAGATTGATAGAGAGTCATACCATTTCACATTGCTGTAATATTTGCAGAAAGGCTGACAGATATTGAAAGTTTATTCTTACTTTAAAAGCTCACACTGTAGAGTTTGATGTCTTGCTAACTATGATGGGTTTTTTATGCCCCGTAATCAAAGATTTGGGGGTATATAGTTTTTGATCTGTCCCTCTGCCTGTTTGTCATAATCTTTTTTTTTTCTGTTTGTCCACAAAACTTCAACCTTGCCCATAACTATTGAATAGTTGCTGCTAGGGATTTCATTTTTCACATTGTTTACTTTAATTACATGCTAATCGTCGGTACATATACACCCCTACTAATGTGTTCGGATCCTTTTATTTTTCAGTGTTCTGTAAATTATAAAACTCGAGGAGTTCAGAGTAGCTCTGACGGTTGCACTGGTGAGATTTAGCGAGACTTCAGCGAGAAAAGGTAAATTATTCACGGAAATGTGTCTAGGAAGTGACTTCCACGTGGAGACATGGTAAACAGAAAAGTTATGTTGCGTTTCAGTTTTCACCACTGTATAATATCTGTAGGAATGTATTTCAGTCTCTCTTGAATTCATTCAAACTTCAATAAGTATTGCTTATGAAATTATTTTCTGCAGTTATGTATTAAAATTTCTTTTTGGACAAAAATACCTCCATGGAAACTGGGACTATATTTTTTGGAGTCAGATTAGCAACTGAGGTACAGTGTACCAACATGGCTTAAACTGAAAAATCAGCTGAATGAGTTGAATTGCATTGTGGGTTACTACGGATACTACAGAAATTTTACGCTTGGGAAAAAAAAACAAAACTACAGGCGATCGGAAAGGCACAAAGAACATTTTTTCATGCATTTCGTAGATGAAAAGTAATCTGTCCATTTTTATTCTATTATTTGTTAAATAGACGTAGAATTCAAGCTTTCTCAAAGCCGAACTGTAAGGCGATTTTACTGCGTCTGTATTCCTTTGTTGTATCATCGGTGAATACAATGGTCAGGTGGATTCCCTGGCCAAAAACGCATGTGATCAGGGGTATTGTAATGTAAAAAAAAACTTTGTTGTCCATTTAAGGACCCTCTATACACTAGCGGAAAATATTTTTTGGACATTGAGAAAATTATAGTGTGTAAAGGTGTAAGTACTGAGCTCATCTATCACATTTTCAACATAGGGTGCCTTGCATTTACCCCCAGGAAAAATGTTGAAAGACAATGAAGTACTGATGAACATAAATCACTGTTGTTTACTTAAGTGGGAAAAATATCTGCAAATGAAGTGTTCTATCTATTGATCTTGGCCTATTAAAGTGTTATGAATGCTTGATTTAATCAGAAATTAAGTAATAAACTGTAAATTTCAATTTATTTTATTCTTGTTTTGAACATATTTTATTGACAATGTGTCAAAGGGATTGGACACAAGTTCTAAAAACTTAGATAGTCCTCTCCCATTTTATTCTTGATCAAAGGGCAGATCACTCTATCTGCATAAAAATACCACAAAATCAGAACTCTCTAGTGTGCAGTGTATAGAGGGCTCTTAACTGTTTAAAATACCTACTATGATCCAATAACTGCGTGTCACTTTGCTTGATCGACCGTAGTAAAATTTCACAAATTGATTACCATATTATACTCATCGATTGGATGTCTGATTTCAATAAAAGCAATACTACTTTGCATATGAAACAGAGAATCCAACAATACTCTGAAAATACTGGCCAATCACATCGAATGATCGTTTACCAGTACGGCATTTGTAGTCAGCAGCAACACGTGGTCTGTCAAAGCGTTTTCTGTCCTCCAAAAATGATTTGTCATATTTGTTTTTATTTGACCGGATGGGGTTAATACGAAAAAGAAATTTAAAGCATGGAATTAGTAAGGCTACTCTGCTATAGGTACTATTATACTATATAGCTATCGATGTCATCATTATAGGAAGTAAAACTTGCTTTGCCTGTCCACATGTAATTCACGGCCAGGAACACGTTAAGTTCCTAGACAGTACCGTTGTCAGAAACTTTTAAAGTTAAGCACTGAAACTGGTTCGTTGTCATGAACATACAGGTGAGGTTATGGTAAAATCCGTCCGGTGTCATGCAAAAGATACAAGAATTTATACATAATACCTAAATTTTAACGTTTTTGACAAATTCTAAGAATAAATTTGAATTTTGGGAAACAGATACAACATTCAGTATTCCATACAAAGATTTATGTATTTGATATCCACAATACATTTTGAGGAGTTTTGGTTGGCGATCACATGCCCATGTGTGAAGCCATGATAGTGAGCTATAAAACTATATATTTCTTATATTTAATTCATCGAAATGGTTCTTTTATTTTAAAATATGAAGAGAAACTTAATTTGCAATGTATTAGGCAACTGACAGCCTTTTGTAGCGAACATGTTTTAAGAAATCGCAATTTGTAAGCAAAAAGTCCGTTGTCAGTACATGTTAAGTTTGTCTGGTCCGGTGTCATTCTTCTTAACATGTAAGAAAATCAATAAAATGCAACAGAAATGATCAAATATATGCTTAATTTTAAAAAAATACAAAGCATATTACAAATATATTTGAATCTCGGGGTTGTCTTAAAGCAGCTCACACCAACGTGCTAACTATTTAGAGATGTTCTTATTTTCAATTCATTTTCTCTTAGGAACCTGAATCCTAGCTAGTATGCAAACATATACAATTCCTTGTTTATCATCAGAATAACAAAATTAAAATGTTATGTCACATTTAAGCCGATGGTCGGGCGACCAAATTATTTTCGTATCGTCAGCTGAAAAAAATATGATCGGCCGACACTAGTATCGGGCGACGCAGAGTAGTGATATTAATTCCTAGGAACATCGATACCTTTAAAAGTAAAAATATTTAAAAGTTGGCCAACCGTCGCCCGATCATCGTTCGCTAGGCCCCAGGTTTGATTTTCATCTTCGGCCGACAGTTGTACGAAAACTCAATTCCCAAATGTCGACCGACTGACGACCGACTTTAAAAATTGTATGCCGATGGTCGGCTTATGATCGAAGGTTGGTGGACGGACTATTCAATGAGTGCTTCAATTGAATCAGCCACAGACTCAAAAAAAAAATAACTTGACCCGACTGACATTCATAAAATTGGTCGGCCGACGGAAAAAAAAAGATATAAAAAATCGAGCAAAACAAGGGCCGATAATATGAAACTTACGTGGAAGTATCCTCAGGTAATGTAGATTCAAGTTTGTTCAAACCATGACCCCCGGGGGTAGGATGGGGCCACAGTGGGCTATCAAAATTTTACCTAGAATAACATAAGAAAATTCTTTAAAAATCTTCTTCTTAAGAACAGCAAAGCTATGATTGGTCATATTTATATGGAAGCATCCTTAGGTAGTGTAGATTCAAGATTATTCAAATCAAAGGTTAACATAGGAATACATAAGGGAAATCATTAAAAAAAAATCTTATTCTCAAGAACAGCAAAAACGTAATTGGTCATAATAAAATATAAGCATCCTCAGGTAATGTAGATTTAAATTTGTTCAAATCATGACCCCACAGAGGAGCCAAACAGGATCATAGTTAAACAAAGGGTAATGTGGGATATATCAATAAAAATTTCTTCTTTAGAAAACAAAGCCATTATTAGTCATATTAGTTCAAAAGCATCTTTAGGTGGTGTATATTCAAGTT